TTGGTTGATACTGAAAAAGTGTGTTCTGACATAATCACGACAACTAGTGGAAAAGGACCGAAAACAAAAACAAAACTCGAACAAAACTTAGTTTGCTTGATGGAAACAAGAGTTTCTTTCGGGTTTGTTTCAGTTTTGTTTTTGATTTGCAAGTTTTTAAAAACACAAACAAAACCCAAACTCAACTGTTCGTTTAGTGGAAAACCGGCATAAGATCAGATATCTGTTTGTTTAAGGTGTGTTCCACAGTAGAACTTTCACTACACCATATTGCCCGACACTGTTAAGACCCTCAATACAGGGCGAAACAGTCTGTCGGTATTTGAAGTAGGTGGAACACATGATACAAAGATGTATCATGGGTGGAACACGCTCAAAACAAAAACTCTGGGCGAGGTGAAGGTTCAATTCTTTCTATTTATATATAATAATATATTATTTCCATAATTTTGTTTTGGATACCAACCTTTAAAGAATTTTACATTTTCAGAATGTTAATTTAACATTTTATTGGTGTTAAGTGAATATGCTAAAAAGGTTACCTGGACATTTCAAGAAATTTACCTTAACACCCTAAGAATGTTAAATTAACCAAATTAGCAGATTAGAACAAATATTCTTATTTTGTTTATTTGACTGTTATTTGTTGTTCAATTAAACAATACAATTTTACATTTTTAGATGGTTAAGTAAACGTGCAAAAACCATTGCTTGTATTTAAAGTGCATAAAGAGTTGAATTAATATTTTTTTTGTTGTTTCAACAGCTTATTTTTTTCAGTGTATGAAACACAAATGTTGCCTATTATAATAGGCAAGTTATTTCTACCCTTATAATTCTTGCAAAAAATAGGAAACTTTAGTATCAAGTATTAAATTTCAGTTATCGAGTATCAAAATTTAATGAAGTACCTAATGGATTATTGAGAGACGATTGTTGAACAATATATTACCAAAGCAAAGTATTCTATGCTTTAGGAATATATATTTTTTAAATTTACTATAGTAAATCTATTATTATTATTATTATTATTATTATATTTTAAAAAATACATATTTTTATTTAAAAAATTTACAATTTTTAATCAAAACTATAAAATGAATAAAAATACAAACAAATAAAATTAAAACATTAAAAGAGATTTTAATAATTTAATTTTTATATAAAAAAGTTTAAATGGTGTTTCACAATACTAAAAAAGAAAAGTAAAACAATACAATAGAGAAAAAAGTTAGAACAGTTCCTTTGTTCCAATGACCGCGGTCGACCAACTCAATTTTAAATTGTATTTTTATACAAAAAAGGCAATTTCACTACCCAGGATTGATATTTAACAATTCTATAAAAATGGTCTGCCACTTTAATGGCAATATAAAACTAAAATAGTGTAATTTATTACGTATGTCAATTTGCAATTTGCTTTAGTCAATGTTAAGTGTTAATAACAAGGTAACATTATCACCATCACTTTACTCAATGTTATCACTGTTTCTTTCTTCTCATGAGCTTTTCCAAATTCTTAGGAAAATGGTATTTTAATGTAAACTGTCCTGTTTAAGGTTATATTTATATTACGCAATGCAAAAGTACAAAAATTACCTAGAAGCGGTTTAGATTTTTGTAGAACAAATGGATTTTAAAAATGCAACATTAAATGTTATGGTTAATGTGACTTATTCGGGTAGTCTGTATTAACTTACTTTTTTATTTGTCAATAAGTCATATTTATTTAAATTATTGTTTATAAGAAAAACTGTTATTGATAATGTTATGATACATTGTGGAAAGAATAATAATAATAACAATTAAAATAATAATAATTATAATAATAATAAATTCTATAAAATCAGTGGTACATTAAAAATTTAAATAATAATAATAATTTTTTAATGTATACATTTAATCAACACCTGAATCTACATAATGTACAACAATTTTAAATTTATTAAAAATTCCCTGTATTCGGTCTGGATGGATCTATATGTCGATGGGTCGATACCAAGTTTAGATCTACTTTAAAAGTTATGGCCATTTGAAGTTAAGTTTAAGCTTTAAGCTTATTTAGTTTAGTTTATATGATTTTCATTTAAATTCAAAATTTATTTTCACATTTTAATAAATAAATAATTTTAATTTGTAATTTATATATAAATTAATTTTTATTACATATTCTAATTCTGACATGGGCAATAGGGTGGTCCAAAAAAACGATATTTTTCGAGTTTCCTATAAAAGTCTGTAGTTAATCATATTTTAAGAGCTCTGTCCAAAAATTAGCTCAAATAAAAATTGTGTCAGGGCCGCTCACGTGTTTAATCAAAATTCGACTTTTTTTAGTTTAATTTTGTAATTTTTTAAATTTTTTTAAACGGAAAATAAATAAGTTTCCCAACATTAAAATTAGGTCTTAATATTATTATTTAAAGGTCGCTAAAAAAGAGTAAAAACAACAAATTTTAAATTTTAAAAAACTATGAGCGACCTTTTAAAATTTATATTTTGAGTTCCCAGCTAACAAAATTGATTATGTAAGTGTTGTTAGAACTGCTATACAACACATATTATAGAAACGCTAAAATTGTATAATGCGTTTAAAAACTACTATACAACACTTACTCAACCAAAAAGGGCCCTGTTTTATAAAACAGTTTACTTCGTTAGCAGTTATATAAATACACTACACAACCCTTATAAAACTCAGTATCAGTATACTGGGGAACTGCTATACGATTATACTATAGCGGTTTTACTCTGCAGCTTAATTGCACTTTACGAATATTTATAGAATATTAAAACAAGCATTTTATAAGTATATACTTATGTTATATGTTATAATGCGACAGAATCGTTATAAGAACATCAATTTGTTTCCTTCTCTAGAAATTAGGAATGGAGTGGGAAATTTTTATCCTAAGACTATTTTATAATGCGAATTATGTTGGATGTCAAACGGCTAAGATCCAAAATGGTGCTTGTTGTTTATTATGTAAATATAATTATTAAACCTTTGAGATTTACGCTGTTGTCGAGGACAACATCTTCCTGCGGAGCAATCTTTTCTGACAATATATGTATATATTTTTAACAAAAAATTAAAGCGCCAGTTAACAAACATACCTACTAAAAATTATTTAAAAAAAAATAATTTTTTATTTGACAAAGTTTCATGTTTTTTAAGAATATTATTGTTTTATTTGTTCAGTTTATAATTGACTAGTCATAAGATTACATTAATTTTTTTCAAGAAAATTCATTTTTAATTGACAGTTTTAACGTTTGTTGGTAAAATTCACACAATGGCGGCGATTTATAAACAATTGATCGGTCAATAAATATGGCGTTTTTGTTATAAAATGGTTTTGTCTTTATAAAAACGTTATACAATTTATCTGCTCTGTCGCGTGCGTTATACGATATTTAGGTTCTGTAAAGTTGTTTAATACAGGCGCTATAAAAGTAAAGCAAGAAACTGACATTTGAGATGTTGCCAGATTTTATCTGTATTTTTCAAATTATTTGTTTTTTTTAAGAATAAAATACTCATTTTTGGTGCAGTTAGGTACATCAAGTAAAATTTTATTTATCCTGCACGACGTTACCTTCATTTTTTATGCAAATAGGAATTGTAGGTAACACTGCTGCCTAAAATAACAACCCTGTAAGTTCATTTTTCGTATTGGCTATAACGCCTTTGCCTACTGCGCAATAGAACAATAATATCGCTTAAGGTATGCATTGTACCGCACTATACAATTGTGTTCTGTTTTATCCACTTTTTAGCGGTACCTTCTTTATCTACATGTGACCTAACCTATTTTTTTGTTTATAATCTGTGATAAATACAGGCAAATATTTCTACGTTGAGTTTTAAAATTAAAATGTTTAAAATCGTTGAAACGATTGAAAGGGGGGGCAGAAAGGAATTATCAATTGTGCCTGCGAACTGGGAAGACGATCGCGGCACACTACTATTTCCAAAACGATTTGCCCTTCAACTTCTTCGTAGCTATCGATTGTAAAAGAATTTGGAGTTGGTGCCTCAACTAAATGTTGAATAGAATTTTCTATTGCGGCAGTACTTCCAGAAGACTGAATCATTCTCTGATATTTTTTTTTTGCTCTTCTTTTAAAATGCCCACTTTTCTTAATTTTTTTCCATTGCGACTCCATTTTAAAAAAAAACCTTAACTTATTTTGGCGTAATAAGACACTAAATGTATAAACAGACTTAAGTAATAAAATTATAACGCAGAACTTGCGATAATTTTATTTTATAAACTTTCTATAAAGAAGTTAATCGGTGTAGTTATAGGATAATTATAAAATAACTTTATACTTATTGTGTAGTGTGTTTACTTCTGCTTAAAAAAACAATTTTTTAATGTATCTTATAGAGCTTCAATACAACTTTTATACAAATTCTATTACAACTATCATAAAACGTTGAAACTACAAGTATAAGAATAGGTATACAACTCTATTATAACTTTTATACAACTCTTTTAAAATAATTTTATAAGGGATTGTATAAAACGTTATACAATGGTTAAAAAATGTGTATGAGTTTGGTTCTATAACACGAGTTGTAAGAATATATATACAATAATGTATTAGAATTTCGTCGTTTTTACGATAAAATTATTGTATTAAGACGCATTAAACAATAAAAATGTTCTTTTTGCAGCTCTAGACGATAGTTATAAAACAATTCAGTTCTTTAAGGGATTTATTTTGCTAGTTGGGTTAGAACTGAGCAAATTTTAATGGAGCTGTTTTTGGAGGAAGCTCCTAAAATATTTATACCGCGTTTTTAGGACAAATTAACTTAGAAATTATTAACCCTTTACTATATTATATTATAACTATATTTTTAAAAATATGTGGTTGCAAATATAAGTTTTAACAATTTTACTTTGTCTACTTGATGCAATGTAATGTAATAAAAAAGTCATAAAAGTTAATGCAAACGTTTGTAAGTTTAATGTTTGTTTGTTGTGCAGGTTGGTACGAAGACAATTGGTTTGAGCAAAACTTAGAGAAAGAGGGCATCGAGTGCACGAGGGAGGAGATGCGACGCGCCGCCGAGGGTCATTTGACCACCGAGGCGCTCATGTGGAACCAAAACTTGAACGAGCGCACTATCTCGGGAATGACGTCGGAAGACTTTAGATTACGGCTTAATAACGTTCTTAGAAGGGAGGGTTACGACATCGACAACCAACGATATCCGGAAGGATATCAGGAGGCTCCTTTGGCGTACGATGCCGTCTGGTCTGTTGCTTTAGGTAAGTGCACTCTTTAATCACATTTTATGTATGTATAAGATGAACATAAAAAGAAAAAACACGGTTTTCACACTCCCTTATTTATGAGTTTTGATAAAAATGTTACTTGAAATATTTGTTTTTTTTATTTCTACACGCTGTTAAAAAAAATCGTCAACTTAAAACTTGTACTAGTCGGGTTAAAAACAACAAATATAAATCTGTTAGACACCAAAAACTTAGTTTTGAAATTCAAAATAATTTGTTTTAAAAGAAGCTTACTGCGTGTAGCTGCTTCGAGAGCAGCGCGTTTTGGTTTTCCTTTAACTTAAAATTATTTTTAATAGGAATTGTTAGTAAAATAAATTAATTTTATAAACATTTAATTGTATATAGTTCTGTTGTACGACCTAAACTTGGAGAATATGGTTTTGGGTCACACAAATTTTATTTGTTTTCACTTTCATCAAAAAATGTATCACAAAATTGTAAAATTTTATATTTATACGTAGCAAAATACAAAATAGAGAAAATTGCCTTTTGCATGGGTATAAATTAAAATATATAGATCCTTAATTTTACCACAAAGGTTTTTTAATGCAAGATTTGTTAACAGAAGAAATTACATTGAGTTTGTTAAAAAGTACTTTAAACCTTGGGGTAGATAATATAATTTGGGAGTAAATTATGTTTTTAATGCGGTTTAAATCCATAGAATGTAACATAAATTATAGTAAATTATTCGAGGGATAATGACATAATTTAAAATGTATGGTCTAGTCTCATTGGTCCTCAATACCTAAGTTTCTGGTTCGTTGGATAAGATTTTATGTGGTATACATTTATTGATTGGTTTGCCTTTAAATTAATAATTTCCTCCTCTACATGCTTACCAGCGGCAGAAAAGGCTCTTTAATTATAATGTCTACTACAGACAATTTAATTAGAGAGAGCCCCGGGAAGATGGTAGCAAATTTCTTAAGTGTGGCATTTAATATGTTATACTTATTAGTTCGTTAAATCATGTAATAAGAGACCTTATTTAAAATATTTAACGTTGGCATGTCTAGAGTTACATTCTTGTAATAAGAAATCGTAGATCACGTTTCACTCCCCCAATTATCTTTGCATTTATTAAAAATTACAGAAAAGGGTTAATATTATAGCAACACATTCTTTAAATTAGTTAATTATATTATATTATGTCAGGTATATTACCATGTATAATGTCTAAATAAACGAGTAGTTAAGCAGTACAACCTTTTCTTGTCTAAAATATGTCCTTACACTACCTCCCTAAAAGAAAATTGGTATCTACATTTATATGGAAATTTAGTTTTTTATATTATTACAAAGGATTATCATTTTGAGGTTTTCATACAGCCAGGTTTAAACTGATATTTTTCTTCTGACAGTTTCAAACACAGCAATTTTTTTAACATTCTTAAAAATTATCGCCACTTACGTATTTCTCAATAGTTTTGTTGCAAAATTAAAATTAACTAAAGTGGATCATGTCTTCTACAAGTTCCAGTTTTCTAGACGGTATTTAAATCGATTTCTAGATTTTTTCTGAATATTATATTATTCAGATTCAGCAATCGTAAATTGCTCTGCGAGACACATCCTGGTTTTCAAAAAATATTATAATTTCGGTTTTAGGAACCCGTCCAACTAAATTATAGATAGATACTTTGTAAGACATATCGACGGAAAGTAATCTGATAACTAAGATGTTAAAGTAAAGTAAAACTTCTAAACGAATTTACGTTTCCATGGCAACTTGCATTTTTTCTCTGCTGGGAGTTTAAGAGCTCATAGATTTTATGTCATAAGACATACGTTATTTATAAGGGATTGCAGTATTTAAATTTTATGAGGACTTATTTAAATGAATTAGTCAAAAATAACTAATTATAAGTCCTATTTGACTAACTGTCATAGCGAAAAAGCAGTCACTAATAATTAGTCAAATTCTACTGAGTAAAATAGTCAAATTAGTAGATTTAAATTTAAAAAAGTTTTGACCCAGCCGGGGTTTGAACTCAGGTCTGTCGCTTTTCAAGATTGTCAAGCTGTTGTCATAACCAATGCGCCATCATTCACTTTTATAAAAATTAATTTTATTTGTCTATAAATATAGCTCATAATATTTTAAAGTTGAGTAAATTTTTGTGTTGCTGTTTTGAGCTAAACTTTTTGCATCTTTGTTTGTGTGGGCTATTAAACCATGGAGCCTATATGCATTTAACTCAAATAATAATTTGTTGTTGGCCGCAATCGATTAAACAAATTAGTTACTTTTAACTCACAGAAATAGTCAAAGATGGTGACTTATCTTAAATTAGTGAAACTTTAACTTTAAGTACTATTTAAAAGAAAAAACGGCCTTTTTATTAGTAAAAAAATGCTGGTTCAAATTCAAATAGTAAAATTTTGACTATTTAATTTTAATATTTTAATATTTAGGTAAAAGTTAATTTTTCTTCTACTATTAAATAATAATAATATTAATTTTGTAGATAGCCACATGTGGCTTAGGGCCTCGATATGTAGGTACATGTGTGGCGAATAACCGCTTTTTTTTTTAACTAATTTTGAAATAGAAAATATTTTATTAATCTATCAATCTTTAAGGTGAAAAAATATATACAAATGGAAACAATTTTCGGTCAACATCTTAGGTTTGCCAATTAAAAAATATTAAATAATAATTATTAATATTATGGTTTCAGAGATAATTTAGATAACTGCGATTGTAAAAGGTAACTTAAAATTTTTATTTTTATAACTAAAATCGCAATTATCTCTTAAACTACCTAAATTAACAAAAAATGTTTTTGAAGACAATTAAACGTCTCCACAAGTCGCCGGTTCACGCGCGACAACATCGAATGACATGGAAGTATTAGTTGGGGAAATCGGCCAGCGTATAGTCTACGCGCGAGACGTGAATTTCCATGGGCCTCTCCTTAAATCAGGTGCATTTGGACTTTTCACGCACGGAAAATCTCACCATTTTTTCGAGAGAAACAGAAAAGATGATAATCTGACAACTGATCAATGATAACTGTCAAAAAATTAATTTATTTGTCACTTGCGAACGGCAGCCACCTACGATTAACACGTAAGAATTTCATAAGAATGTCGATATGCATTCAATCACATTTTGCCATTTTTCTCAAAAACATTACGTTTTACAAAAAAAAATTCAAAAGAGAAAAGTTTCTAAATTGAATGTCCTTCCTTACGGTTTAATATTAAAAAAATAAAAAATACGCAACCAATGTTTTGTGGCTCCAAAGACAAGGGGGCCTACTAAAAAGCGTCTTAAGGGGGTCACACATATCAAAAAACCCCTGTATACCAAATTTAGTGATTCTCGTACAACAGGGTTCTGAGATATAAGAAAAAGACTATTCTTATGGGCTACTTTTGGGGGGCTGTATCTCCGAAAAAGGGGGCCAATTGGCAAAACTAAAAAATACGTGTCCTTTAAATTTGTCTCGAGAATCTGTGACCAAATTTTGTTGCATTAATTTCCGGACACCCTGTATAAGCTTATAAAGAATAATAAATTGAAATCGATACTAAACCAAGCAAAGTTTTTCAGTTTTTACTTGCAACGCAAAACACAAATAACATGCGCGGTTAAGCTGTGTAATTAAAGTTTGCAACAAAATTTGTCGAGTGGGACTTATTTCTGTCTTTGGGTATCGGGTTTATATTTTCGATTTTTCAAGGAAAATTTGACCAAAACTGGGACTGACATTTTAAAAGCCGATAAAACAGATTTCTAACACTAATTTTGCATACAATATTTGTGTATATATGTCGCTTTATACAAAATTTCAATTAATTAGAAGATAATTTATTTTTTATAATAATATGCTGTCTATAAATGAATTAGTCAAAAATGGCTAATTACTACAGTTATTAGTGGCTGCTTTTTCACTTATACCATGGTATCTCCGACATATTAGCCTAATGGTATAAGTGAAAAAGCAGCCGCGAATAACTGTAATAATTAGTCATTTTTGACTAATTCATTTTTAGATAGTGTGTCGAAGAAAAAGTATATGTATAGTATACATTGTATACTCGCTTATAAACTTTTCTAGACACTAATTTTTATTAAAAACTTGCAAGCTTCGCTCGTGCCTAATTAAAATTCGTTACGAAAATGGTATTTTTCAAACCGATAGATAATACCTACTCTTTTAAAATTAATTAAGAGTCAAAAATAACTAATTATAAGTCATATTTGAGTAATTGTCATAGCGAAAAAGCTTAGTCAAAAATAACTAATTATAAGTCATATTTGACTAATTGTCATAGCGAAAAAGCTGTCACTAATACCACTTTATGGAGTTGAAAATATCACAGCTAAACGCTCTGACACGTAAACTTAACTTTTGGTGGTAGATTACAAATCCATGCTTGGTTTAGCTATATCAGATCAAAATTCAAATATATTGAAAACACCCTGTATAAATTTAAAAAAAAAATCAATTTGGTTGGACTTACGCATCAGTTCCAAATTAAAAAAAACAAATTCTTGCAAAATTTCAAGTTAATTGATCAAAACGAACACGTGTCCCTGAAGGTTTTTTCGAGGGGTAAAGCACTTTAAAATTTTAGAGACCAACGTCCAATGTTAGTGGACGTTGTGTTGTGATTTTTTTCCTTATCAAAAAGGAAAACTTGCTTAATCAGTGCTTATCAATAAGAAACCCTTGTTATTGTTATCCTTAGCCGTTAATTCGTAAGCAATTTTTAATTTTAAAAAATCAGTGGTTTACCCCTCGGGTTTTTTATAGATAATTTAGGAAATTCAAAAAGTTTTTTTGCTATTTTTTTTGTTATTGAGTATAATTGAGGATATTATATTAATTGAAATAAAAAGCATAAGAATGTGGGCACAAGAGGTGAAATATATTATTTAACAAATTATAATATACCAGTATACAGTGGGTCCCCGGATCGGATTTCCGACAGAAAAAACTTTTTTAAACCTGATA